CTCTTCCTAGAGACTAATGCACCACACAGTCGCACTTGCAGCACTGGGGTCTTGTACTCACTTAGGATTATCGATTGCCTCCTGCCAATATCCACCAGGCTCTTATACCATGAGGGAGATGATGACTTTTGGACATCTTTGTCTCTCTCCCACAGCTTACCACTGGTTCTCATGAACTGTCTCCTGACCCTCTGATTTTTGGGGGTACTCTGCAAATAGTCTCCCCCAAGCCTAGCTGGGACCTCAATGTCTTCAGGCTAGCTTCTTTCCACAGCTTCTACCCAGGAGGACAAGGCCTCTCAACAAGGGTCTCCTCCAGCAGGACGACTCTGAAAAAATTCCCTACATCTACATGCTGCAATTTCCTTTGTTGCTCAGGCTTCAGACTATTTATGGGCTCTTCCCCAGCTTCTGGGCACACCTCCCCAGGGATTGACCAAAGTCCCATAAATATTCAAGCTGCATCCCACTATGTTCTAGAGATCTCTATAAGACGGGGAAGTAGCAGAGCAGCAGTCTGTGAAGCACTGAACAGCAGTACAGGCAGGAAAAGGTCCTCTAGCACCCAGGGCAAAAATGCTAAACGGCACCTTACCCCCCACATGTATGTGTGAGCATTATGTGTCAGCAAAAATCCCCTCCCTCTCCCCCCAAAAAATTGAAGCACTAATCTGCATACTTGCCCCCATGCATAAATTCCCTTTGCATGCCCGCCCTAGGCTGAACTCTCCAACCCAGCATAAATCTTTGCCCCACCTACCTTCTCCCAGAAAAAATCCTCTCCCTGCCCAAACTCTCCATCATCTTCTAGCCCTCAAATTTCCCCTTTGAACATAAATCCTCTCTCCTACTCAAAATACCCCCCTCCTAGCACAAATAACCCCCACATTTTGCCTCTCAACACAAATCCCCACCCCCAAAGTTTCCCCTGCTAGCACAAATCATCTCAACCTTCGCTACTAGCACAAATTCTCCCCCCAAATCCCCTTTCCTAATGCAAATCCCCCCTCCTAGTACAAATCCCCCCTCCTAGCACACATCCTCTTACCCAATCCTCCTCTCAGCAGATCCCCCCCCCCCCCAAAATCACCACCAGCACAATACCCCCCCCCCCCCCATTTTGCCTCCTAAAATTCATTGTACACCACTGCTGCCTCAGAAGTTCCTCCTCCCAGTACAAATCCTCTCTCTCCTAGCACATACCCCCTCCCAAACCCCCCTCCTATCACCTATACTCTTCTCCCTCCCCCTTCTAGCTCAAATACTTTTATCCCCACATCCTGAGAACAAATGTTTGTTACTCTGAAACTGCTGACACTACTCCTGCAGGAGTGGACTGACCATTTGGGAACTCGGGCACTGCCCAAGGCCCGGGGTCAGAAGGGGGCCCCATGAGATGCCACGGTACCTTTTTCATAAGCTTTTTGGGTGTGGTTTGAGTGTGAGCAAGGACACAGGGGCCCCATGAGTTGTCATTCTGCTCCTGTACTCCTGCTAGCTTGTAAGAAGAACCTACCCATGCAGCACCCCCACCTCACATGATACCACAACACCCAGGGCAGCCGCCCATCTTGCCCATCTCTTGTCCCAGCCTTGCTGAGCAGCCCCAAATAATCAAATCCTGCTCCTATGATTGCAGGGGAACCAAAACTAAATTTACCTAGCAAACTACTTACAGTAAACCTAGAAGGGTGCTACACAGACAAGCTCCTGCACTACATAGTTGTTGGTAGATCTAAATGGGGTTTGTTCATTCAGATTGTAATATGTGTGGTGAGCCTAAGAGACTACCTCCAGTATCTGTCTTGGCAATAGGTGGTTGCTGAGGCAAGAATCAATGGAAACCCTATCAGCAATAAAACCACTATTTTTTTAGATAAATTGGGAAAGAGTTAAAATATTTATTATTTATTTATTTCAGGTACCTCTATAGCTCCGTCAATTTACGCAGAGCTTTACATATATATATTGTACATTCACATCAGCCCCTAACCCTCAAGGGGCGTACAATCTAAGGTCCCTAACTTACAGTCATACATACAATAAAATATACTCTATGTGTGTGTTGGGAGGCTATTGTCCACATCTGCCCCTCTGAAAGATGATTGCCAGGACAGAAAGTGGGGAAAAATCTGCCTTGTGCAGATACAGACAGAAATGATCGTTTGGCAGAGTTTCAAACACTTTACAGTCTATTAAAAAAAAATGGTTACAGTTCCACTTTGAATTTTGCTCTGCTTAAAATCCTCACTAAACATTTTAACTTGTCTCATCACTAGTCCCAAACACAGATTCATTGTTTTTTATTCATAATAAATGTGTGGAAAAACATGATATTACAATTTTACCATAAGCAACTAATATGAACTGAAACAAATTCAGGTCTCTTTAATCCAACCACAAAGAAAAATGTTCCTGCTGAGAGTTCAAAAATCAGCCACAAGCCTTTAATTTGCAGTAATATCAGCATTTCTCTTTTCATTGTAGCAATTTCAAAATTTTGCATCTTATTGAGCACTTTTAAGGGGATAATAAATAAAATGTAAACTCCTTCAATTGGTGAATTGCTAATGCTACCCTAGAATCTCTACAAACTACATAGAAGTCACAGACACTAGGATCTGTCAACAGTCTAATGCAGAATGATTTCATGAAGCCCCCTCTTGTTCTTCCAGGTAACACTGCAGCTTGAGTTTACATGATACCATACTGAGAAGCTGTTCTCTATTTCTCACTGTCAGTAATTAAAGTGGTTTTAAAGCTTACATTTTTTTAAATAAAATTATAAACACACATCTTACCTCCTCTTCTCGGATCCCCGGGCACTTCTGGCTCCTCACCCTTGCCAATCGCTCCAGAGCAAGATGTTTGCTCTGGGGGCACTCGCATGTGCTCACTCCTTAGCCGTTTTCTGTGTGTCTATGGGCTCTGCCCCCTGCCCGCTCCTCATTATCACTGCTGTGTCTCAGCCAAAGAGGAGAGAGAGACCCGAGACAGCCAAGGCTCCCATGCACAGCGCTGGATCAGGATTGGGATTAGGTAAGTATTAGGGAGGGCTGCGGGGGGAACTGTACACCAAAGGTTTTTTTTGCGTTCATGCACAGAATGCATTAAGTTAAAAAAAATCTTCCGCCTTTACAACCACTTTAAGTTGCAATGGATGGTAATGGTAATACGTGGGTAGCATATTCTTATAGCTTCACAACTGGCAGTACAGAAAGAAAAATAGTGCACACTGGAGTGCATACAACTTACTCAGTGCTCCTTGAGTAGAAACATGTCCATAGTGTATGGAAGATCAGATCAAGGGGAAGGTTGTGGATGGAGGTAAGAAAGGTTAAGAAAACTCCTGCAGCTCCTCAGCTAGGATCTGTTAAGGATCTCCAAAGGCAGTATGCAAAAGACAGAGAAAGGCCAGTGGAGTAGGTAAAGCCATTTATAAAACAAGTTTATTAAAACAGCACACCTACACGTAGAAAACCTGATGTTCAGCAAGTAGGAACCACCACTAGCTGTCAGGAATGGACTTGCCAATAATGGTGGGACTCACCTGCCTTGTGGGCTGCAGTACCAGGGCTGACCAGCGGGTGCTCTCAGCAATCAGAGACTCAACCCTGCAGTCAGCCCAAAACACCTGAGGCTGATTGCAGGTGTATTTAAGGGATGGCCAGACCTGCAGTCTGTGCCTTGGTGTGTGTTTTTCCATGGGCCCCTGTATCTTGTTACCTGCATTCCTGTTCCTGTTCCTGTCTGACTGATTTGTTGCTGACCCTGCCTGATCCGGACCTCTGCTGACTTCTCCTGTTTGATCCCTGGCTTGTGACCCCGACCATTCTCTGCCTGACCCCCTGTACCTACCTGCCCGTTAGTTGCTGTACCCGGCTCGTGACCTGACTACTCTCTACCTGCTGCTCCTGTTCCTACCTGCCCGATTGTTATTGACCCGGCCTGCCTGACTACGCTTGCATTGTATCGTTATTTGTGGGTGGTTTGGTTCGTTTGCACTGTGTTATGTTTTAGTATTGCACTGCATTTATGTATTGTCAGTATTAATAAATTATATTGTTTATAACATATCTGAAGCCTGCGTTTCCCTGCGTCAGTTCACATACCTCTGGTCATACCTGGAGCCCTGACATTACACCAAGGCCAATCCTGACCAGAAGTGGCTGCACAGGGAAGCCATCTTGGCTTGTTGCTGGGAAGGATGGATCTTGATGAGGTTGTGTATTTGTCGCTGCTGGTTTTTGATGACAGAGAATATGCTTATCAGACTCTGAGGGAGTATACCCGGGATCAACTGCTAGAATATATACGGATCGCTCATGTTCTAGTAGATCAGGGCACAGAGTTCTCTGAGGTGCAACCTTTGATTCAGGTTTGTGTAGAGTTGGCTTCATCTGGTACCCCTGAAAGCAGGAATGACTTTTTGCCACCATTTAGACCAGGTAGAGTCCCTGGTATGGTTATTAGAGGATGATGTGGATTGCTTCTTGGAGCATTATGCTGCATGTTCACCACAGGTATTAAGGGATTGTATAAACGCAGTGCAGTCTTTGACCAAACAGGCTTTGTGTAAGCTGAGCTTTGTTCAACCCATACTGCAGACATGGTCAGACTTGTTGCACCCAGCCTCAGTCAGCTTACAACGTCATTCCTCCGCTCAAGGCACTCTTCCTGCATCCCCGACAGCACCCCCAGTGACTGCCCAGTATACTCTGCTAACTACCACATGTCAGTCCTCTGCTCCCACTCGCTGCACCTATCCTTTCTTTAACCCTGTAAAGAAGTCCTCTGTAGCAACTGCTCCCTCCTCTGTTCCATCCTCCAGCTCTCCTCTGTCCTCAGCTGCTCCATTCGTTTGCAGACCTGCGTTTACTTGCAGTGCTCCAGTAGTTAAAACCAGAAAAAAGCGAAAATTCTTTCCAACCAGTACCATCCTGCCAGTATCCAAACCGGTGAGCCTGCCGTCTGAGAACCTGCCTTCCGTGGTTCAGCCTGGTGCCTCGGCACCCCCCGCACTTCAGCCTGATGTCTCTACCCAGCCTGATGTCTGTACCCAGCCTGATGAACTGATCCAGCCTGATGATCCTATCACGCCTGATGACCCAGTGCCCGCTGTCGAGCCAGACGATCCAATGCCTGATGACCCAGTGCCCGCTGCCATGCCTGGTGACCCGATGCCCGCTGTCGAGCCAGACGATCCAACGCCAGATGACCCGGTGCCTGCTGTCGATCCAGACGATCCGGTACCTGATGACCCGGTGCCCGCTGTCATGCCTGGTGACCCGATGCCCTGCTGTCGATCCAGATGATCCGGTACCTGATGACCCAGTGCCTGCTGTCATGCCTGGTGACCCGATGCCTGCTGCTGTCGAGCCAGACGATCCAGCGCCAGATGACCCCGGAGCCTGCTGTCGAGCCAGACGATCCGGTACCTGATGACCCAGTGCCCGCTGTCGTGCCAATTGACTCAGAGCCCACTGTCGTGCCTGGTGACTCGGTGCCCACTGCCTTGCCAGATGACGCGGTGCCCGCTGTCGAGCCAAATGACCTGATGCCTGGTGACCCGATGCCCGCTGTCGAGCCAGACGATCCAATGTCTGACCCAGTGCCCGCGGTCATGCCAGTTGACTCGGAGCCCACTGTCGTGCCTGGTGACTCGGTGCCCACTGCCTTGCCAGATAACGCGGTGCCCGCTGGTGAGCCAAATGACCTGATGCCTGGGTGACCCAGTGCCCGCTGTCATACCTGGTGACCCGATGCCCGCTGTCGAGCCAGACAATCCTATGCCTGATGACCCAGTGCCCGCTGTCATGCCTGGTGACCCGATGCCGCTGTCGAGCCAGACGATCCAGCGCCAGATGACCCGGTGCCTGCTGTCGAGCCAGACGATCCGGTACCTGATGACCCAGTGCCCGCTGTCGTGCCATTTGACTCAGAGCCACTGTCGGTCCTGCCTGGTGACCTCAGTGCCCATGCCTTGCAGATGACGCGAGTGCCCGCTGTCGAGCCAAATGACCTGATGCCTGGAGACCCGATGCCCGCTGTCGTGTGACTGATGACCAAGAGTGCCCGGCAACGCTCGCCTGGGTGCCCCGGCGCCCGCCTGCCCTCCTGGGGGTTCCGGCGCCGCCGCTACCGCCTGGCGGGTCCGGCGCCCCGCCGCTCCTCTGAGGGGCCCTGTGCCTGTCCCGCTTCTCCTTGGACGGCCCTGTGCCTGCAGCTTCTCAAGGGGGCCGGTGCGTCCGCGCTTCTTCCCTCCTGGGGGCCCGGTGCCTGTCACTCTGCCTGGGGGGCCCGGTGCCTGTCGCTGCAGTGGGGGGCCCGGTTGCTGCCGCTCAAGCTGGTGGCCCGGTGCCTGCCGGCCCGCCGCCCCGCCTGAGGGCCCTGTGCTGCCGCTCCTTCCTTGGGGGCCCTGTGCTTTGCCGCTCCTCCTGCGGGGCCTGTGCTCTGCCCGGAGTCCAGCCCGATGTGCCGCTGCCCGGAGTCCAGCTCGATGTGCAGCTGACCGGAGTCCAGCCCGATGTGCCTTGCCCGGAGTCCAGCCCGATTGTGCACTGCGACGCGCGCGCCTCTCCTTCACCGCCACGTTACCAGGACCGGGCGGTGGTAACATTATGCCCAGTCGGACTTGTTTTGGAGCATCTGAAGCGCTCCTTGTGAGGGGGGGGGTATGTCGGAATGGAGTTGCAATAATGGTGGGTACTCCCTTTGCTGTGGGATGCGTACAGGGTCTGGCCAGGGGTGCTTCGCAAAACAGAGACCCAAACCCTGCAGTCAGCCAAAACACCTGAGGCTGAATTTCAGGTGATTTAAAAAGGGAAAGGGGCCCGACCTGCCCCGTCTGTGCCTTGGTTGGTGTTTTTCCATGGGCCCCCGTATCTTGTTTTCCCGCATTTTCCCGTTCCCGTTCCTGTTGACTGGGTTTGGTTTTCTGGAAAGCCTGATCCGGACCCCCTGCGAATTCCCTGTTT